GAGCTCGCGGCCGCAGCGAGCAGGCGTGGGTCCGGGCCCTGTAGCTGCAGCCAGTGGTATAAGCCACCCTTTAGGGTGCTCATGCACCCCTTTTGATTTTGGGGTGTGTGTGTGTTTCAGTGCAACTGAGGGACACGAGTAATTTCTGAAGCAGTTTCTCTCTTTGCAGAGGCAAAGACGGACACTTGGACATGCATATAAGTGGGTTCTAATTCAAGCTCTCCTGCAACATTTTTGTGTTTAAATTCATTTGAAACCTGGAAAACATCTACTTATTTTTAAAGTATGTTTTCATTGATTATTTAGAAAGAATGAGAGGGAGAGGGATCTAGAGAGAAACATTGAGGAGAGAAACATCACCGACCAGCTGCCTCCTGCATGCCTCCTACTGGGCATCAAAGCCGCAATCCGAGCACGTGCCCTGACCGAGAATCCACTAGTGACCGCTTGGTTGTTAGGTCGAGGCTCAACCACTGAGCCATACCGGCTGGGCCATATAATTGTTTTTAAATGTTGGCGGAAAAGAACGTGGTTTTAAAGCTTTAGTATTAGAATGTAGCTTTTTATTGTACATGCTTGTTTTATTTTTATTCTAATTAGGAACAGAATATTTACATTGCCTGAAAGGCCTTTAGAAAAAGTGGTCCCTATTATGTGTAGTCTGTTTTGTGCATAGATATTCTTATTGTTGAAAAAGAGAGTGGAGGGAAGGAGAGAGAACGAGAGGCATTGATTGGTTGCCTCCTGCAGGCACCTGACCGGGGCCAGTAATCGAACCTGCAACCTAGGTACATGCCCTTGACTGGGAATTGAACCGAGACCCTTCCTCTGCTAGCTGAGAGTCTAACTGAGCAAAGCCCGCGAGGGCCTGACATGTATTTTGTAAGTTGCTTTTTAAAATAGTTTCTTGTGGCATGATCTCATTTTTGTACATGCAAATTAATGTATACCTTAGAATAGAAAAATGTCTAGAAGTTTATACACCAAAATGTTAATAGTATTTTTTCTGGGTGTATAGATGCTAGGTGACTTGATTAATTTAAAAATGTTTTTCTAGCCCTGACCGGTTTGGCTCTGGATAGAGCGTTGGCCTGTGGACTGAAGGGTCCTGAGTTCAATTCCGGTCAAGGGCATGTACCTCGGTTTTGGCACATCCCCAGTGGAGGGGGCGGGGGGTGCAGGAGGCAGCTGATCGATGTTTCTCTCTCATCGATGTTTCTAACTCTCTCCCTTCCTCTCTGTAAAAAATCAACAAAATATTTTTTTAAATGTTTTTCTAATTTTCCTGCAGTGACATATATCAGTAGTTTGATTCAGAATCTTCCCCATGAGATAAGGACTAGTGAGCAAATGTTTATATGAAATCCCTAAGTAAAAGCTAAACTTCTTCATCTGGGCAGTTGTGCATACAAAAAGCACATGAAAACATTTGCTGAAATAAAGGATGGTTAAAAATTTTTGGTCTTGAGTGGGCATTTTACCATCTCTCTGAAAGGAGGACTGATAAGTGTTTAGATACTGTTCAACACTAAGTAGGAGTCAAATCTTTTTCTGATCAAGGTGATCCTATTTCACCTAATAGTCTGAATCCAGACCAGCTTGCAACATTAATTTTAATGCTATCCTCGGTTTTCTTTTATTTTTTATTCTTCATGTTTGAAAGAATTTAAAGTGTATTGTGAAAAAGAGGCTACTTGAACATGTTTGGCTGCCAGTTTTCAGTGTTTTCCCTGATACCTGTAGAGCATTTAGAACATCCATATATATAAAAGGCTAATATGCGAATTGTTCCCTCCGGAGTTCAACCGGGAGATTGGGAGTTTGATCGCTTGCTATGATGTGCACTGACCACCAGGAGGCAGCGCAGAATGAAGGCAGGCCCCGGTCTGCAGCTGACAGCCAGTAGCTGGGGAAGGAAGGCCCCAATCGGCCCTGATCACCAGCCAGGCCTAGTGAAGTAAAAAGCTTTTGGCTGGTTAAATTTTGAAAGTGTAAAAAAGACATATTAAGAAAAAGTCTTGAAATTTTGGTTTATTACATAAAAATGAAAACAGTTTTTCTTTTACTTTTGAATGCACTTGATTGGGATGGGCTCAAGAAATGCTATTTGTTAGGTGAGGCATTATATATGTTGATATCATTTCTGTATATCTCATGATTGCCAGTTTCTTTGGGGGTTCCCTTCCCCCTTCTCTGAATTGGTAGCTGAGTTAGAACTGGAAGCAAGATGTAACTTGCTGGTAGCAGAGATTGGCAGTGAAGATTTACTCACACAGTTAGCTGTTCAAAACCCATGGGTTTTTTGGTGTGTTTTTTTTTATCTCTGGTTCTGCCACTTAGTTGACTTTTACTGAGTCTGTTTCATCATCAGTAATATTGAGTGGGTTTAGTAGTGGCTCCTCTATGTACCTCACAGGATTGTTGTGAAGATTAAATAAAATAAGGATTAGGAAAATGCTCAATAAACTAAAAAGCACTACTTATTACCAAATGATGACATCCCCTTGGTGCTAATATACCCAGGACTTGGTGAAGCGGCAAAAATAATGTGTGCCTCAGTTTCTTACCACAAATGATTTTGAGAGAGTGTAGTGGATTTTGCATATCACAGGATTAAATGAGAGAAGGCATAGCCTGGTACATAATAGGTGCTCAATGAGTGATCATTATTCTTCTATTAGTAAGTAATCTATAAGGACTTAAATAGTAAAAGTCTGTGATTTGGTATTTGCTTTTATTTACAGCTGAATAAATTTATGCAGAATTGCATTCCTATTTTGGTGTTAAGATATAGCTTTAGAACAGGGGTCCTCAAACTTTTTAAACAGGGGGCCAGTTCACTGTCCCTCAGACCGTTGGAGGGCCGGTTTTAACCCTTTGTGGTCGTATTTAATTTGGACATGGATGTCGTACTGGTCAGAATTAATTTCCATTGACAGAGCAGTGATACATAACATGCAAGATTATGAAGGATAAACAAGATTTATTAAATCTTTTTTGGAACTACGTCACTACTAGTAGAATCACTACAAACGTTATCACTTTCTACGTCAGAGTCAGTATTCAAGGTGCCAAAATAAAACTCTTCATCGTTACTTTCAGATTCGCAGTACACTTCTTTCGGTAACTTTCTTTTTGCCATTTGGAGTATTATTTTGAAATATCTTAACAAGCGAGAATGCCTAATTACAGTTAAACATAATTTGTAAAGCTTTATTTGAAATTCTACGAAGTATCTCCGAAGCTTGTCGATTTCTTCATTCTCAAAAGGCGACTGACTCGCCATGGTGTTTTGCATGTCGAGTGTAGAACGACCACGTTTGTTTATATTGAGTTTCGATATCTCCGATTTGTCGGGGCAATGTTTTGGTTCCTGACAAGGTCGCTTAGACACTTAAGAGCTTTCAGAGAAATTATGAACTGATACATGAATGAATAGAGTTAAGATTCGTACGGTTCCTTGCTGTGGTGGCTGAGAGCAGACATACGACCGGAACGGTAAAAAAGCTTTGGTGGCTGAGAGTAGACAAACGACCGCAAAGGGTTAAAAAAAACTATGAACAAATTCCTATGCACACTGCACATATCTTATTTTGAAATAAAAAAACAAAACGGGAACAAATACAACATTTGTATTTGCATGTGGCCTGCGGGCCGTAGTTTGAGGACCCCTGCTTTAGAAGGTAAATTCATTCAAAGCAATATGACATATTTACATATACTTACATATTTAGCAATATATACAGTTTTGAGTACTTAATACAGGACCTTCAAAAGAATATTATACTTCAATTCTGTATAACTTTCCAGTTGATTAAAGATCTTGGTACTATTGTATTCTTGAGTCTCAGAAATGAACTACATTGTGACTTATATCATATTTTTCCTATAGGTACTTTTTATCATCTGTGAAAACTTCGCTGTAATTCAATTTTCCTCACTTCCATATTAAGAATTATACCAGTAAGTGGAATGTGGTAAAACGAATGAGTCAATTTTATAACAGTCCATGAGAATCTAATTATACATTGGTTATTGCTATATATGTTTTATTCTCAGGAGATTGTTGAAAGTGCCTTATAAGAAAAGGGTTTTTTTATTGAAAATTATATTTTGAGCTTCAGTGTGATGGATATTCTTCCTGGAAGCCAGGGAATCAATACAGATTTGTGAAAATATACATTTTTAAGGGGTCATATTCATGTTTTGCTTGAAAACTGTATCAAAACTTTCCCAGTTTTAAAAAATGCACCTGTTTCATTCTTAATATGTTATCATAGGCACAATTTATCCTATCTAATAAAGAGGAAACATGCTAATTGACCCTCACACTGTCACAAAGATGGCAGTGCCCACAGCCAATAAGGAGGAAATATGCTAATTGACTATCACACCCTTAAAAATGGCGGTACCCACAGCCACAATATGGCGGCGACCAGTGCCCTCAGCCCTGCCGGGGCGGCAGGCACAGTCCCCTGGGGCGGGGGTGTCCCTCAGCCCAGCCTGTGCCCTTTTGTAGTTTGGGAGCCCTCAGGGGATGTTTGACTGATGGCTTAGGCCCACTCCTCGGGGGAGCGGGCCTAAGCTGGCAGTTGGACATCCTTGGCACTGTCGCAGAAGCATGAGAGGCTCCTGCTTGCCAGCCGTCAGCCCAGCTTCTGACTGAGGGGCACTCCCCCGTGGGAGTGCACTGACCACCAGGGGGCAGTTCCTGCATTGAGCATCTGCCCCCTGGTGGTCAGTGCACGTCATAGTGACTGGTCGTTCCACCATTTGGTCGATTTGCATATTACCCTTTTATTATATAGGAGGATTAACAATAGTTATTTGTGACATATTTGTTAAATTTTTTTCATTTTTAGATTGAAAAGATATGAATGAATACCCTAAAAAAAGAAAAAGGAAGACTTTACACCCTTCTCGTTATTCAGGTTAGTGAATTATTTTAAAGTTGAGCCATGGATTAATTTCCATGCAATTGTATTCCAATCTATTCTCTCATAAATGACTGGATAAAAGTTATATATCTGAATCAATTTTTAAATAAGAGAAAATTTTAAATAACTTCTCTGAGTATAAATTCTTCTTTGTCTACCATGTGCTAGGTACACATCAGAACTTATAGACATTTAATCCTCACAACTTAAAGGTTTATAGATATTTAAAGTTAAATATCAACAGTTGGTTACTTATACAGCATAATTGAAATGTGTCTGTGTGCTTCCCAACCTTGTGCTTAAGCACAACAATAATCTTGTTAGAAGATATTTTGCACATTGCGAAAAAAATTTTTATTCTATATATTACTTTCAGAAATGTGAACTTCCATTTTGTAATGTTAGATCCTTTGGTTGAGGTTTACTCATCTATCTTGGCAGTATTTAAAAGAGGTCTTGCCCAGCTGGCATGGCTCAGTGGTTGAGCACCGACCTATGAACCAGGAGGTCATGGTTCAATTCCCCATCAAGGCACATGCCCAGGTAATAGGCTTGATCCCCAGTGTAGGGCATGCAGAAGGCAGTCGATCAATGTTTCTCTCTCATTATTGATGTTTCTATCTCTCTCCCTTTCCCTTCCTCTCTGAAATCAATAAAAATATTCTTTTTTTAAAAAAAGGAAAAGAGATATTTGTGGTCATCTGTAATATACCTCCCATGAACAGTACTTGGAACAATCTTAGGCATACCTGTTAGCCCACCCAACCTACACATTCTTCACACCTAAGGAAATTAAATCTAGTTTACTGCTTACTGACTCCTCCCAGACAAGACTTGAAATTACTCTATTCAGAAGCCCTAACTGTCCTCCCACCATTTTTCCTATGTGTTAGTGCTTTTTATGCACTGCATGAAATGTCTTCTTGGAGTTAATTTAGGTTTTGGGGTTGTTTTGGTTTTTTATTGTTTTTTTTGCAATTAACACATTAATTGCATATTTTTATTTTGTGGGATTTAGACAGTAAGGTATCTTTATATGCTTCAGAGTATTATATTTTTATATTGAATAATTTGTGGTTCTTTCAAAACTCAATGTTAATATCAGGTCTGAAATATAAAAGCTATCAGAACTGAGGAAACTGTTACTTTATTACAGATACTATAAAAATTTACATCTGTTGGATAAAGGGGTGGCTGTCATCAATGTATATGTGTTTACTATGCTTGAAATTTTAAAAATTTTGTTTTATGTTCAGATTCCTCTGGAATAAGCAGAATTGCAGATGGATTCAGTGGCATTTTTTCTGATCATTGTTACAGTGTCTGTTCTATGAGACAACCAGACTTAAAATATTTTGACAACAAAGGTATATCTAATATTTTCCAAAATATTTTTTCTTTAAATTACTTTTATAATCATTTCTTACTTATTTAAAAATGTGGGTGAATTATGATTTCAAAATGGGCAAGTGTTTAAATTTGTTTAAATGTAAGAAAACTTTTTTTGTAATAAAGTAAGTGAATTTTAATTTTTAACATTATTTCAGATATATAATAAAAAGTACATTTTCCTAAATCTATTTTAGTTGGCTAGGAATTGGTGGCAAAGCTGGAGTGATGCAGAGTTGGGAGTATTATGGTTAAAAGTTAAAAATGGTGTTATACATGGTTCTTTCACTCAACTATACCTTTCAGCCTGGAGGGCATAGTTGGAAGGAAAGAACAGAGAATAAAGAATTTGGTCTTTTTCAATCTTTCATCTTCTGTTGGCTTCTCTTTTCTAGAGCATTGAATGAATGATAACAATTTGGGTTTGTTTTCTCTCTCCTCTGTAACCATCAAAATTCTCAGTTTTCTTGAGCTCCTGTTACAGACACAGAAACATAAATTATTAAAAATAATATGGAGTCAGAGACATCAGTATGAACTCATGTTGGCTTGATATAGACACAGATGTAACATACAGAAATATTTATAGGTATGTTTATACAAATGTGGTGGTATACACAAACATATTTTTTTGTTTCATTGTCTGAGAGGGCATAAAAGAAATGACACCCAGTAGCAGTGAGCAAGCACATCTAGTGTTGGGATCTTGGTGTCTAGTATCTTTCTCCAGTGAAAGGAACTCAGGGCGTCTTGGAGAAATGCCTACTGCTTACTGACCTCTCCTAGATAAGACTTGGGAAGAAACAAATTTCTTGTAGAGAAGAATTTCAAATTATTTATGTAGCTACTCTTCCCTCAAGGAGGGGGAATGTAAATCCTGGTTTCTGACATGTGGACTCTACGTAGTGTCCCCCTTCTAAAGCACAGAGTAAATGAAAGTAAAAGAATGACTTTACAGAAGAAAAATCTGATAAATACTACCTCAACCAGGTGATCAAAGTCAACATCAGCAGTAATAAGTCATGTTGATCAAATGTACCTTTGATAAGTTGTGATAAAATGGCAGTTTGCCTCTCTGGTCTGCTCTCAATAACCCATAATCCCAGTTGAATCATTCAAACACAACACATTTTAATAGTGGGCATCCTACAAAATACCCGATCTGTTCTCAATATTGTCACGGTCATCAAAACCAAGGAAAGTCTGAGAATCTGCCACAGCTAACAGTAGCCTAGAGAGACTTGACAGCTAAATGTCATATGGGATCCTGGAACAGAAAAAGGCCATTAGCTAAAAACTAAGGAAATCTGGAGGAAGTATGGATTTATCGGCATTGGTCGTGAATTGTAACAAATGTACATTATAAGATGTTAATAGTGGAGAAACTGCAGGAAATTTGGGAATTCTCTTTACTCAAAATTTTTCAGTATATCTTAATCATCTAAAAAGTAAAGTATATTAAAAACAACAGCCCTACCTCTGTGGCTTAGTAGTTGAGCATTGACCCATGAACCAAAAGGTTATCTGTTCTGTTCCGAATCAGGGCACATGCCCAGGTTGCAGGCTTGATCACCAGTACGGGGTGTGCAGGAGGCATCTGATCAGATGTTTCTCTCTCATTGATGTTTCTATCTCGTTCTCCCTCTCCTTTCCTCTCCTAAAAAATGACATTAAAAAATAACAACAGTGACGTTAGGTTGAAGCCTAGTGTTCTCTACTGACCTGTATTTCAGTTTATCCATGCTAACTTTAAAACATTGGGGCTGGGCTGAGGGGATAAAGGCTTATTCAAATTCAGTAACATTAAAAAATGTGTTCTAGTCCAAATGGGGCATGGGAGCAAAAACATTTGCTTGTTTGGACAGATTTTCTATGTGTCCGTGATACACGTAACATCTTCAAATGAAAGTCCTTATTCCTGTTGGAATTCAAAATTATATTTAAAATATTTGGTGCTTTGTGTTATAATATTTAACGTTTAATACTTGATACAAACAGTAAGTTTTTCCAAACTTCTCTTTACAGATGATGATTCTGATACAGAGACATCGAATGATTTGCCAAAATTTACAGACGGAGTCAAGGCCAGAAACAGAAATCAGAACTATCTGGTTCCCAGTCCTGTCCTTAGAATTCTAGACCACACTGCCTTCTCTACAGAAAAATCTGCCGATGTTGAAATTTGTGATGAGGAGTGTGACTCACCTGAATCACTCAACCAACAAACTCAAGAGCAGAGTCCTATAGAAGTTCACACTGCTGAAGATGTTCCAATCGCTGCAGAAGTGCATGCAATTTCTGAAGATTACGACTTAGAGGCAGAAAACAATTCCTCTGAGAGTCTCCAAGACCCAACTGATGAAGAGCCACCGGCTAAACTTTGCAAAATTCTTGACAAGAGCCAAGCTCTGAATGTGACTGCCCAGCAGAAATGGCCTTTGCTGAGAGCTAATAGCAGTGGCCTCTATAAATGTGAGCTTTGTGAGTTCAACAGCAAATATTTTTCTGATTTAAAGCAGCATATGATCCTGAAGCATAAGCGTACTGATTCAAATGTGTGTCGAGTGTGCAAGGAAAGTTTCTCTACCAACATGCTTCTGATAGAACATGCCAAACTGCATGAAGAGGATCCCTACATTTGTAAATACTGTGATTATAAGACAGTAATTTTTGAGAACCTCAGCCAGCACATTGCCGACACCCATTTTAGTGATCACCTTTATTGGTGTGAGCAGTGCGACGTACAGTTCTCCTCAAGCAGTGAGCTCTACCTGCATTTCCAGGAGCACAGCTGTGATGAACAGTACTTGTGTCAGTTCTGTGAACATGAAACAAATGATCCAGAAGACTTGCATAGCCATGTGGTAAATGAACATGCATGTAAATTAATAGAGTTAAGTGACAAATATAACAATGGAGAGCATGGACAGTACAGCCTCCTGAGCAAAATTACCTTTGACAAATGTAAAAACTTCTTTGTATGTCAAGTATGTGGTTTTCGGAGTAGACTTCATACAAATGTTAACAGGCATGTTGCTATTGAACATACTAAAATTTTTCCTCATGTTTGCGATGACTGTGGCAAAGGCTTTTCAAGTATGCTAGAATATTGCAAACATTTAAATTCACATTTATCTGAAGGGATTTATTTATGTCAATACTGTGAATATTCAACAGGACAAATTGAAGATCTTCAAATC